CAAATGTGACAGCATCTTGTTCCCATCTTCACATTCCTAATAGTCTCGGAAGCCGCTCACTGTTTACATTACCGAAAACTTGGAAATCGTGGACATTTTTGAAATGTTTTACTTTGAATGAATATTGTTCTGTGAAGATTAATCAATACGTTTCAATCAGTATTTCAGAGGCAGGCTCTTTTTTATCCAACGGAAATTTTTTAACTTCAAATCTGGTAAATGTGAGCACTTTCGTAAAGCAAGGACATGATGAATGTACTAGGAGATACCGAGATTCGGGCAGGCTCCTTCAAACAAATTACACAGCTTCTTATGGAAAGGTCACAGCATTAATGAATGAAGTGATGATTTTTGTCTGCGGGCGCTTTCGCCTCTGTCGAGAGTGGAAGGCTTTTCTGGACCTTTATCCCTTTGACAATTGAGGCTCTCAACCAAATTTTGCAAGCCTGGATGTTGAAAGAAGGAGAAAGCATGTTGCCTCTGACGCTAAAGTAGAGGTGCAGTGCCAAGATGGTTTTCCTTGCTGTAAGATGAAAATCAATCGAGGCTTCATTTATGCGTTATATAATAGCAAAGCGGTCTTTCTGGTAGGGGCTGCACTAGAGAGAAAGTCTTTACAGAAGCTGAATCTAACCGAAGGAAGTTGATGCATGTTGAGCTCTTCATACACCATTACCAATGTGTGTCAGTTCAGTTCTAACTAGAACACCTAGGAAGCCTGTTGTAAATTTTTGAAACAGTTTCCATTCTTTGCCGTATCCCTATGTTTCCAAAAGGGATTTATACTTCGTTGAGAGGCTGACTTAGAGCCCACTAATGTTACTCTTATCCTTCTTTTGTGATCGTTCTGGCTACAACACTCAAAAAAGAAGAGGTGTGAATCCGTGAATCGCGTAAATCTGTAGGGCAGCCAGATTTAAACTAAAAGCTCACACAAGTCACGAAAAATTGCGTGTGCACATTGACTGAATTAGCTAGTGAGGTTGCGTTGTGTTGTTTATTCTCTGTAGTTACAGACTGCTGGTATATTACCGAAGAACCACCTGCATGGTGAGGATGATGTAGTGGAAAGTGGCGCTCATAATAGCAAGCTGGTCCGGTGATCGAAGCTCAGTCGATTTCCAATCAAGTCAACCAAAGCTTCCATACCTCTGGGTTCGGCTGATTGTTACCTGACGCGTGCGAGGGCATAAAAGCGCTCACTTGAACATCGGATGAGCACATTTCTCTTATAGGTCACATATGCATACAAAGTGAAACAACTATTTTAACCAGAAGTCTAGCGCGAGGGAGCATCCCAAAAACTGGATGGATCGACGCCCAAGCTCTTTACAAGTGCTGAAAAGCGATTAGAAAAAAGAAGTACAAAAGATTATGATTGTTTTGTACGATAATTTTAAGAAAGCTATACACGCTGTCGATCAGTACTTTGAGCGGTTAAGGTTTCAATAAATTATCCTTAACTGGTGTAGGATACCGACTCATAATCCTCAGGAACCCTTCGAAACGAACTCATTAACCATTAGCTCAGGGACCATAGGAGAGCTGTACCTCCTCGATACTCTGAATCAGGATAGGGTGACGATAGTACAGGTTTTCCAGTGGTCCTGTTCCAGTTTTTTCATCTTGAGGTCTTCTCGGGATGAATTGTGGACAAAAGTTGAAATACATTTAAAGCAGGCATTCAAATAGCCTTTCATACTTCAGGTTTGACCCACGAGTCGGTAAATGGGAAGGAGTTTGTCCCATGTCATCCTCTCGAGAGGGTCATGGTTCTGCAGTGCTCCATGGCGAATTGTATGTAGTGGGTGGAAGCAACCATTCAGAGTTCCTGAAGTCTGCTGAGAAGTACGACCCCCGGACTAAGAAGTGGACTTCAGTGACTGAGATGGGCTGTACGAGGCGTGGTGTAAGTCAGCTGTAATCCATTAGACTAAGGTTATCTTTTTTTGCGAAGTTTTTGTGTTTTGTATTTTGTTAGTTTGCCTTTTTATTTTATTATTCAGAATAGAAATTGTTTTGTTTCCAGTTAGGACTGGCTGCAGTCAATGGAAAACTGTAGGTTATTGGTGGAAATGGTCATAAATCGGTTGAAGTTTTTGATCCTAAGACGAACCAGTGGGAACACCACAGTCACATTAATTGCGGGTTAATGAATTGAGTCATTGACCGTACGCTCATTTTTCGGGTTTTCATCTTCGAGTTAATCTCTTTTAGACGTTCCCGTCCTGGTGTGGCTGTTCTACAGAAGTCATAGAAATCATGACAGCAACCTGTTTCTTTCTTCGCATTCCTAATTGTCTCGGAAATCGCTCACCATTCATATTATCGAAAACTTGCGGATCATGGACATTTTTGAAATGTTTTTCTTTGAGTGATTGTTTTTCTCTGAAGGTTAAAATAAATTTTATTCAGTATGTCAGAGGCAGCTTCTACTTCTCCTTAGAGTGGGTATTCAACGAATATGTTTTATCTTCCAATTCAAACGATGTGAACATTTTCGTGAAAGGAGGACCTGATGACTGTCCTGAGAGGGGTGCAGCGATTGAGGCTCCTGCAGAACCACTTACTTCCTTGTGGAAATGCCACAGCTTTGTATGAAGAAACTGGCACTGGATGTAGGTGTTTTCCCCTTCAATAAAAATGAAGGGCTCTTCAGGTTGTGACCTTTATCCTTTACACAATTGAGACCCACAATCAAATTTTGCAAGCACGGATACAGAAAAAAAGGAGGAAGCATGTTGTTTGTGAAAGATAAGCATGGGTAGAAGCATCGATAAAGTTTTCCTTGCTGTCAAAAAGTTTTCATTACTTCATACTTCACTGTATGCGTTCAGTTAGAACGGGTTCCTCTGATACGGGCTCACCCGAGAGAATTTTCTGTAGATGGTGAATCCAGCCGATGGCATTTCTTGCATACTGAGCTCCTTAGCCCACGTTTGTCAGCTCAATTGAAACTACAGCTTCTCCATGGAAGTTACAATGTAACCATTAAGGCGGAGCTAGGGTCTTTTGCCCTTCACCGTTTCCACATCTAAACACTAAAAATGCAGTAAAACATGAATGTTCATGCCATACACCTCGGTTCGGGATGTGGCAGAGAACCCCGATGTCGATATTTTATGGCCTGACGGAGCCTGTCGCCTCATCCGGTAACTCTTTCGTAGGTGAACGGTAAAATCATTGACATGAGTTCCTTGTATAGTCTAGAAAACGCCTATTGGGCGCTTTCAGAGTAAGCAATGACCTGCGAGGAGCGTCGCTGGCCACCAGCAGACAAGGCGAGATCGTCCGTTCAGATCCAGGAGCTTCTTAAAATACCGACTTCTGTTCAACGTTTGGAGCTAATGAACCAATTACGAGTCCTTTTTTTAGGAGGAGTTTCTTGTCAATTTAGTAGGTAAGAATGATAGCTAACGCCGCTTGCAGCAAGCAGCAATTTTGTCGATCAAACAAATGTTAGAAGCATTTCCCAGCAGGCTATCCTTGTCAGATTTGCCATCGACAGCTCATGCTCCTCACGTTTTCAATCGGTTAGCCTTACAAATTACCTGAATTTTCAACTATCCTTAATTGAGCGTCTAGAGAAGCGGAAGGG